TTTTATTACACAGCTATATATAGATGAATTGAGGCTCACAGTCAGACTGATGTAGAGGAAATATAGTGGAACCACTGAATTATCTGACATGAAAACTGCTCTCACAGTCATTTCTGTTCTCAGCTGTTGTCTAGAGGAGATCAGAGGATGGGCACCTCGGATTACTTCCTTGTAACGGCATTTCTTTGACTTTTGACCTTGGCCTAATATCCATAGCAAAAGGCCTCTCAGACTTTACAACAACGATGACTGATGCTTTTGAAAACCCAGATTCATAGGTGGCTCAGTCAATAATAATACAATAAAAATGATGACAGATCTTTTGGATTTGTAATAATTTTATGAGACTTTTTTTGTGTGTTTCTAAACTTTGCAACAGTTTGTATGGTATGACTTCATTAGACAAATAAAATCCTTTGCAAATGTCAGCAGCTCCAAAATGTTTACGTGACCCATGCACTCTCAGAAAAAAAGGTACAAACGCTTGTTGCATAGTATTGTATGTAACAGTTAAAATATTCTTCAAAATATATTTTGTACTCCACAAAAGAAAGAAAGTCATACAGGTTTGGAACGACACAAGATTTCATTTTTGGGGGAACTGTCCCTTTAAGAGATGTGATCTTTATAGCAACAGAGTTTAGCTGGACACCAGCAGCTGCTGATTGCGGGAATCATGTCTTTACAGCCACGTCCTTTGATCGTGGAGGAAGGTACAGGCCTGTGATTAACGATTACTGCCTTGTAGATCTCTGCTGGAAGATAACAGAGTTTCTCCATTGGCGATATACGAGTCCCTTGGGTGCTGGCCCTGATCTTGGCCTCCCTTTGGGGCTCCTCAGGAAGTGAAGAGGGGGCCCAGGGCCTCGGCGGAACAAACCTGCCCGACTGTAAATTTCTGGCAAAAGAATGGTCGCGTGTGAGAAGACTTCCTGTGGCTTCCACACGGTCTGGAAAAAATGTATCCTTAGAAGTCTCCTGACACGCAAAACCCCCGATTGAGGAGACAAAGAAAGAGAGACAGACACACAACCAATTTGGGAAGTGTGGGCTGCACCTGCTGCTTTTTGGGAAAATAAAGGATGCTGTAAGATTGTCTCCTACTTCCCAAAAATGTTTCTTCCGAACTAGGAGGACAGAGACAAAGAATGACAGATGGTGGGAGAAGAAACGGATCCAGGTACTTGAGGCAACATTAATACATAAGTATGTCGTTTGAAAGTCTCATGAATATTTCAGCCTCGCAAGCACCTGTCACTGTAACTGGTGTAATTCTACTACTCTGCTTTTGACAGGTATGAAAAATCATCTCTCTTAGACAAGCCCAGTCTGTCTGAGAATCATGAGGACACAAGACACAGGATTTCACCTTGATGCAGATCTTCCTTCCTCTTGTTGAAATTATAAATGATATTTTGTATAAATGACTATATTTATGCACAACTTACCATTTATATATGTTGCTAATGATGTCATTAACAAACAAACTTTTATAATATTGATCTAGCTTGCTTTTGATTGTAGGGCAGTCTGTTGTTTCATCATAAGATTGAGTTATGAGATTTTGATGAAAAATGAAATGCATGCTTGGATGAATCATTCACAATAAGTCCAGTAACATTAATTTAGAAATTAGAATAATTGTTAACCTTAGTATTGGTGAGAACATGATGATTCAGAGTCAGAATTTCATGATACCAATTTAGTCATTTAACATCCATTATTGAATCACAATCTAGGTATGAAATTTTACTCTTTTTTTCAAAATAGAGTTTTCTCTTAATTTTCCATATCCTTAAGTTGTTATTTTTTTGGTCCTGTTAATTTTTCATATTTTTCACAGATGATTGAAATCATGAAATACGAGCAGAATTAATCATTCAGAAGCCCATTCTGATTTAAAATTTCCATTGAATTGAATGTAACAATTTACGTAGGAACATTTTTCTAATAATTTATATAAAATAGCATATGACAGTAAAACCTTTCACATCTAGATAATTTTTAATTGACAAAACTGCTAAAACTGAGGTCGGTGCAGTTGAGCTTGGGTTTCAATTTCCAGAACTAGCTGGATTCAGCATTAACAGAGGTTTGTAAAGAAAATAAAGATTTCACAGACTTGTTTATGTGTTTGAATACCGTATCATCAGACACCAGATCATTGACGTAGACTTGCTGTGTCCTCTGTTTTGAAGTGTCCGTTAAGTGTATGTGTTGGTGCTCCTGCTCTATGGTCTTGTTTTGTATGTCAGAGTCCAAGAGTTATGGAGCAATAGGACATGAATAGACTTCCTTTTCCTGTACAGCTTTTGGCAGGATCCTACCATTGACCCTTACCTGCAGGGGTCAGTCAACAATTCCCTGAATAGCGTCTGATTTCACACTGTGGCTCTGTGCGCTGTATGAATCCCCTGCTGACGCTGCAGTGCAGGGGGCTTACATGATGACAAAATAATGACATACTTGCACACTCACACAGGGAAATTTACCAAACCATTTCAGCATATCTGTGGAGTTACATGCAAATGAATAATGGACTTCTCATCCCCTCTGGATGGATGTACATTAGCCTTGCAAATGCTGTGAAGAATTAGCTGTCCTGAAAACACGTTTTCCTGCTCTCTTTCTCACACACACCTCCATCACATGTGGCTGCAATATGAGCTAATAGACACTGACCCTATAGTCATACAGTTGATGTACTGCACCTCAATACCACATTATATACAGTGATAAACTCATTCCAATGTCTATTCACCCTTACGTGCTCTACATCCTCAATACGCATGCTATGAATAATATTTATGGCTTAGAATGAGACCAAACGTGCATTTCTCTATGACAGCAGTGTATTAAAGGTATATTATGGTTGAGCTCAGTTGACAGCATTTGTGGAATAATGCTGATTACCACAAAAATAGATTCGATCAATTTCTTCTTTAAAAAAATAAAAATAAATTATATATATATATATATATATATATAGTGAGGCACTTACAACAAGTAAATAGTGCCAATCTATATACATTAAAATACTCAGTTTCAATAGCATAGCACCTAAACAATATGCATGTACATGATTTTTATTTTACTTTTTTGGGTAAAGTTATATTCAATACTACGATTCTGTTGCAATGTAACTATTAAACCACTGTAAAGTGATGAGAACAGCTTTATAGGTCAAATTTTACAGACATTATAACAAGTTTTACAAGATTAATTAATGTACTCACCTTCAGGCCACCCAAGATCGTTTCTTCGCCAGGACAGATTTGAAGAAATTTAGCAACAAATTTTCATTTTTGGGTGAACTATTTCTTTAATTGAAGTACTTCTTTAAAATTCTAAGCTACAAATTTCTGCTTTTAAATTCTACAAAAATTGGCCACATTTATGTATTTATTTATATTTATTACAGAAAAAACTAATTATTTGTGTGGTAATCACCATTACACCACAAACGCTGCTGATTGAGTTTAACTTGAACCACAAATATTCCTTTAACATAATACCATAAATTGTGAGTTGCATTATAGAGGGAAAATTCTTATAGCGTAGTCTACCCCCTCTTCCCATAACACACACACACACACACACACACTCACCTGCTCTACTCACTCAACTGTGTGAGCCCACAGCCTACAGTCCCTCTCTCCTTCCTCCTAAACAAGTCTGTCTATTTCTCTGACATGTTGTTATTGGCCCTGTAAATCTGTGTATTCAGCTGCAGTCTTAGCTCACTGACTCACCACATCCAACTCATATGAGAACATTGAGTCTGTCATTGCATGATAAATACATAACTAGCAAAGAATTGGTGACACAATAAATTTGTTAACATTAATGCAGTTGCCTAAAAATTCTAAAATAAATAAATACATTAACCTAATATATGAAGAAATAAACATGAACTAAGACTAATAAATCTTTAATTGGTGATTGTTTTAAACATTTACATGAGGGATTGTATGGATCAGCATAGCTTCATTGATTATTGCCCACCAGGCTTATAAAAACAGCATGCAGGTGTTTTGAAAATGTCGTAGGTGTCGTAGATGTTAGAAGGGGGTTGTTGGTGCAGCTGAGGAGACAGAAAGTCCTGGGTTTAAGTGACACAGGCATGTTTGTAAAAGCTGCTCCAAGTGACATATTACGGGCCATGGAAGCACAGAGAAAATAAATGAGACAGAGAAAACGAGTCTGGAAACCATTTGCCACTGTCTCACTCTCTCTTTCTTAGATCATTCTTAACATCTGCCTCATGTTTATTTACCCAACACCCGCTTCTGGCTATAAACAAATTATCACTGCGTGAGCTCAGCCCCAGCAGAAGCTTATAGACTCCAGCAGAACCTCTGCCCCTCGGCTACAAACCAAACAGTTGAGAGATCAACAAACACAATTATGTGAATTTAATCTTGCTATCTTGCTAATGACATAACCTGTGAGTTAAAGAGACCTGTGCTTTAAGCTGTTGTTAATGTGACATGTCAAAACAAGGAGAGTTTCTGACCAAGATTCAGTTGAAATGCATGTCAAAACGCCCAGAAATATACATTTCCATTAAAAGTCTTTCATCCAATAAAGCATTTAGTTATGCATATTGCAACTGAGCGATTATAGGACCAAATGAGGATGACCACATTGCTTGAGCACATAAGCTGAGGTCAAAGATGAGAGGTCACAGGTTAGTGAGTTTGGTCACATAAGCCCATATGGTTGATTTAAGGTCTTGCATTCCTTTGCACTGAAACAGAAACTTAGTCAGAGCATGATTGTGAAGCAGTGAGACATGTTATTCTTATATGACAAGGCCAGTCATGAATTATGACAGGAAGGAAAGTGAAAACTTATATGTGTGAGTGTGAAGCAGAGGAATCAAATAGGAAATACGAATAAAAGAGAAGAAATTTGACTGTCTGTATAGGCTATTAAAAAAATAAAAATAAAAAACTGACTAGTGAGGGTGTATGAGAGAAGAAAAGACGCCAAAAAAGATGAAGAAACAGAAGGTGAGAAAAAGAAAAGGCTTGAGAGAGAGAGACCCCTACTGTTCTTTATCGTGGCCTCGTGCTCTTTGAGCCACTGAATGAAAACAAACCGCAGCGGGTCTAAAACTCTCACTTAACAAAATCAGTACTGCCCAATGTGACTGTGCGAGTAAAAGCTCTATTTTAAAGTAAATATACGCTCTATTGCAGGTTGTCTTGAAAACCTCGATTCACCAAATGAATATTTGAATTTGAACATTTGAATTCTTTTTATTTGTTTTTCTAATATTTACTAGGTTCATGACGGAAAGTGTTTCTGTAAATAAACATATTTATCTTTGCAGTGCGTTTGCCTGCGTGTTTGTTGCGCGTTCATTATAGGCCCGGTGTTGTTTTAAACGCCTCGCTGTCAAATGGCCGCGCAATAAAAGCAATAAATTCAGAGGATAATCACCGGCCGAGAGTTACTTGCAGGTGCAGCTTCTGGAGCCGGTGGACAGAAAGCTGTCAAAGATTGAGACTCTGCGCTTAGCCTCCAGTTACATCTCACATCTGGCCAATGTGCTCCTGATAGGGGACGGAGGAGAGGACGCGCAGCCGTGCGTGAGCGCGGTTTACAGCGCGCACGGGGACAGCGGAGGAAAGCAGCCGCGCACCATATGTACTTTCTGCCTCAGCAGCCAGAGAAAAGGGGTAAGAACATTTCAAATGATACATTTGGACATAGATAGTGTCTACATAAATAGTAGCCTAATAATAAAAACTTATCTTTATAACAGCAAACATTTATGAATGGCACATGGGCAGGATGTGCAGATCCACGCACCTCAGAAAGTGTGAAGGACCTCTGTTAAAGAAAGCAATTTTGAGAATAAAGCACAATGTACACATAAACGAAAGGAAACACATTTACGTAACAAAAATAGCTAGCCTAATAGAAGTCCTCATGTTATTAGTTTTAATTATGCCTATAATATATATACAGTGACAGCTTTTTTAAACTTGAATATTTAGTCCCCTCTGATAGGCTACTGATAATGTATTTGGACACATCTTTTGTGCTAGATGCTAATGAAAATGTTAAATATCCTATCTATATTTACTCACAATAGTTTACTCTTTCCCTGTCAAACATTAAATGTCTTTATCAAGGCCTAAACTGAGTTGTTTCCCAATATTCAGAAGGCCTAAAACCTCTAAGCGTCCAATAAAGAAAAACATCATATGAAAAGAGAGAATAGGCTAGGCCCTAATCACAGAGAGATAGTCTAGATCATATATTTGTATGATATGAAATGAATAACCTCTTGTTTTGTCTGTGTGTATTTCCGCAGATAAAGGACGGGACTGACTGTGTCCGTATGCGGGGAATCACTTCACTGCGCGTGACACGCCTGTAGCAGCGGTAGCGGCGCATGAGATAAAGCCGCAACTCAGGGAGCGCGAGAGGTGAGCGAGATTCCTCGCGACGGAGATTTTCGGAAGACTCGCCGTTCAAACAAGAGTTCATTTAGAGTTTTTTGTACTTTTTCTGTGTGTGTTTTGTATAGAGATATGAACATTTAAAATGCAGTGCATAAAATATTTTTTTTTATTTTTCGTTTTATTTTTTGTTAAAGAGAATTTATACGTTTTATACACAAATTGTGAAAACACCATGGTGAAATAAAATATATATTTTTTTCAAATTTCAAATGTCCTCTGTCAGTTATGCGTGGATGGCACATAAAAAAAAAAAAAAATCAAAATTTTTGGGATGTTTTGTGTTGAAAGGACTTTTCTTTCAAATTAAATATTTCTGCAATAAATCTGTTAAGTAAACGTTTTGATGATGATGATGAGTTTTCCGTTTGATGATGAGTTTAAACGTTCTCAGAAGCAGGCCTAAGCATTAATTAATTTTTTAGTACAAAAATCAGTGCTTTGTGGGACGTCCTTATAAAGTTTATAGCCTATATACTGCTACTTTTTAAATTGTATATTATTTTATTTTAAAACTGATTTTCAACTTGTTTTTGAAACCAAGCAATTGCATTGCATTAGTGACTTTTGTGGCTGATGCTTTTCTGGGTTTGTATCCCTTTCCTTGAGAGTTAAAAATCCAAACATGGCCAGGAAAATACAACCAAGTGCTGGAAGAACAGTTCAGGGCTCAGGGGATTTAGGCAGAGCTTCAAATCAATCAGTCATCTGAAAATAAACATTCATTTAATTTCAGAAAAAAACTCATTGATTATCTCTTTTCATAATTTAACTCCTCTATTTCTCTATGTGGTCCTTTCGTCATTGTTAAGTTGGTTTGTAATTTTTTTGAAGGACAGAATCTAAATCCTTTCTTTGATTTTTTAAAATTATTATTTTATACATATCTCTCTCATTCTGTCTGCATGTGTTTTTGAGATCTGGGATGTATTAGTCACGGTAAATCTACCCTTCGGTCAGCATGGGGACCTGCTGCAGCTGTGCATCTCTGAGCTGCATAAATCACCAGCGGGGTCAACTTGGAAGGTGGGGTGGGGTAATATAGAGCAAGAGAAAGTGTTAGAGGGGGTTTGATAAAGAGAAAGCAAGGTCGAAGGTCTGGGTGAAGATTAAGCATTCAAGCTCTCGGATGCTTGGATGAAGGTCATAGGTTACTGTACATACAAGCTGAGAGGGTGTTTTAAAATTGCAGTCAAAAATGGATCTGTAAAATTGTCAATATCCCAATATATTCTGTGAACTTTATGTGCTTTATAAAAAAAGACTAACCCTGTGAACTGTTGAGAAAGGAAAACCTTAAATAACCCAGGAGACAGCAAATATGTTGTGTCTGATCTCTCCTCTTTGGTTTTAAAGCGGTTGTTCCATCTCACATGCTGCGATCAGACCGGAGACAGAGACATTCATTCCACCAGCTTCCACCAGTGTTTCTCACATGAAACAGTCCACAATTGTGTTTTTTGTAATGATCTCTTCAACAACCGAGAATGGATTTAGGATCTGCTCGAAAAATTATGGCTGCTATAGGAGTCAGTGTTCATGATGATTGAATTAATATTTGAGATTTAATATATTAAAATATGTATTATAAAATATAATAATATAAAAAAGTATTTGAATATAATGATAAAATATATATTATTTAGTCTAATCACAGCCCAAATTTATATGAGAAATCATGATGGTTGAATTAATGATTGAGATTTAATATATTAAAAATAGCTATGTATTATAAAATATAATAATACACAAAAAGTTATCTGAATACATAATGTTAAAATATTTATTATATAGTGTAATCAAAGCTCCATATTATCTGGGAAATAAATGTTTATTTAATTTCTTAATGATTGGGATTTGATATATTGAGATTTAATATATTTAAACATATATGTGTTATATACAGTATAATATATATTATGAAATATTCAAAAACCTGTTGACATTAAATATTTTTGGGTCAATTATGTAATGAAGGTAGATTTTTAGCACAATGACCATACAGCGGGTAAAATAAGTATTGAACACGTCACCATTTTTCTCAGTAAATATATTTCTAAAGGTGCTGTTCACATGAAATTTTCACCAGAAGTTGGTAACAACCCAAGTAATCCATACATGCAAAGAAAACAAAACAAATAATTTCAGAAATGAAGTTCTGTGTAATAAAGTGGAATGACACAGGGAAAAAGTATAATTGAACATATGAAGAAAGGGAGGTGCAAAAAGGCATGGAAAGCCAAGACACCAGCAGAAATCTATCAGTAATTAGAAAGCAATCCTGCCCCTTGTCAGTGGAAAT